TCTCAACAAGTAAGCTGGGGAAAATGGGTGAAAATTCTGGGAAGTGTAACCAGGGAGATTGTGTCTTCAGGAGAGATCTAGGTCTTAATGTGATCCAGAATAGGAAGGAATGGGGAAGGAAAAGATTTAGGATGAAAGGAAGGTTGTTACCTATAGATTATTATTTCATTTACCATAGACCCTAATAAAGTGCTTCTATGTAATGGATACTATTCACTTGTTTCTGGGTGGCCCAGAGCAAGTCACTTAGCTTCTCTCTACCTCAGTTTCCTCAACTGTAAAATGGGGATAATCATAGCATCTACCTCCCAGGGTTGTTGTAAGGATATGAAATATTTGGAAAGCACTTGGCACTATGCCCAACACATAAAAAGGTCTTAATAAATGCTTATTTTCTTTACCCTTTGTTGAATGAAAGCAAGAATGAATGAATGTATTTAATTGAATTTTACAGTATATTAGAAAAATTATATATTAAATATATTAAAAATATACTGACTGTGCAGTCAAAGGATCTGGGTGCTATGTCAAAACTTTGCCACTTATTAGTTGTGTGAGCATAATCAAGTCACCTAAATACTTTGAACCTCAATTTCCTTGTCTGTAAAATAAGAATGACAACATGTACACTCCCTAACTTACCTGATTTTGATGAAGAAAATATTTTGTAACTCTTAAAGCTCTTTATAAGTGTTGAAGTCCTCCTCATTTCTTCTCTAATGGCCATGATAGTCTTCTAACCAGATTCCTTGACTCAAGTCTCTCCATTCCAATTCATTTTCTCTTGAGGAGATGACAAGGTGATTTTTTAAAGGCATATGTCTGACTACACTTCCCAGCAAATTTATAAATTCCATTGGCTCCCTGATAGCTCCAAGTTCAAATATAAATTCCTCTTTTGGGCATTTGAAGCTCTTTATAACCTGGTCCTTTCCTACCTTTCCAGTCTTTACAGCTTACTCCTCTCTATGTACTCTATGATATCCAAGCTACAAGGAGATCCTACCAGTCTAATTAAAATTGCTCTACTAGGACACTCCAGCTCTCAACTTCTTGCCTTCACATTGGATTTACATCATGCTAGGATTGCTTTGTTGCTTCATCTCCATCTTTTAGCTTCCCTCATCTCCTTCAAGGCTCAACTCAAATCCTACCTTCTGTAGAATGTCTTTCTAGTCCTCCTCACATACTAGTGCCTTCCCCTCTAATTAATATTAGCTTAATTTATTTTGTATGTATCTTGTATGTAACCAGATATTTATATGTTGTCTCTTCCATTAGCATATATGCTCTTGGAGCTTATATGGCTGTTTTTTGTTTGTTTGGTTTTTGCCTTAAATATGTATCTATCTCCAGCATATCACATTTCACACAGTGCTTAGAACACAGTAAGCCCTTATTAAGTGCTTATTGACTAAATTGTTATTGAAATTCTTATAAATCAAAGCCAAGTGAACAAAGCACCTGAATTTGACAATTTGAGAAACATCTTCCTCTTATTCTTTGGCTTGAAACTACCAAATCAAAAAGTTGTATATTTTTTAACCTAAATTTATGGCAGGATAAGAGCTTCAATGGACTTCTCAACTGATATAGATCACTGTAGCCCTATAATTACTTAACCCTTAAAGCCAAAGGGCTAAACTTACTAGAGGCTCTGGAGAAAACAAGGCAGACATAGACAAAAAATGGATTTGGTCCAAATAAAATTCCTTTAAGGAGTCATCAACCTCAAACTATAGATACCAGAGAGAGGAAGCTAAGATCATAGACTGAATTCATTTCCCTCTAATTCTGGCTGAAAGTTGCCCTGGACTCTGAAGTGCTTGTTTAGTAACAGGAGATGGGGAGGGAACTCCCAAATTAGGATGGAAACTATTCTCATTCTATACTTAGTTCATGTAAAGTCCACAAGAGATGGCTTGGAGCTAGACTTAGGTAGTTGTTTTGCTGATGGGCTCTTTCCCTAGAGTATTGCTGGAAGGAGGAACAGGGTTCAAACTTATTGGTTTGGGAATTTAGGGATCCACTGGGCTATGGAATATTTTGTCCGGAGTAAACTTTTCACCTGTGGGGAATTTCCCTACATATCTAAACTGCTTTCTGAATACTTCTCTTTGAGAAGGCCCAAAGTTCTGTGAGGGATTGATTGAGGGCAAGAGAAAGAAGAGGTTCCAAATCTAGCACAGAGGAGTCTAAACTTGGGTAAAGTACAGGAATAGGTGCCAACTAGCAGCTGTTGCTCACTACCTGATTCATGGTCACAAATGTAGGGCAGACTGAGAAAGGAACCAGAAACAAGAGTTGGCATTCCAGAGTGAAGAGTGGCCACAGGCCCTAAGTTCTATACTGAGCAAGGAGCAAGTTCAGAAGCAAGTTAACAGCCATGTGGCTTCAATCCCAAGAGCAGAGTAGACTCTCAGTTCCAGCTTTCAACCCAGTTTGAAGCCTGTGGTGGAATAACTAGGGCAAGAATCCTAGACCAAAGGGAAGTCAGCAGTTCTGTCACTCTAAATCAGCATAGTTTTCCAGGTGGCAAATAGTAGTTGGATCTATCAGGAGTTCAACAGACCTCTAACCAGAACAAGCCCACAGGTGTGTTTCTTAGATCCAAACCTAGGTCAGGAACTTGCAGAACTCTGCCCAGAGGGATAGCACCTTGACTCAGACCATAGGGAGCACTGAAAGCTTGCAAGTTCTCAGCCTGAGTTGTGTCCGAGATTCTGGAATGAACTAATAATAATTAATACCCCAATAAAGCATCCACAAGAATCTAAAAAAAAATACAAGGTCAGCCCAGATATTCCCTCCACAAATGGACAGAACCTAGCCCTAACATTAATTCTGAAGTTAAGAAGCAGGTTGGAAGAATGAGGAAACAAAAAAGAATTCCTCCACAAAAAGTTGCTATCGTGATCAGCATGCTCAAGACACAAATCTACAAGAGGAAAATAACTCAAAAACATGTGCAAGAAAATACATACAATTCAAACAAAAACACAGCTTGGGCAAAAGTTAAACTACAATTCTTAGAAGAGATGAACCAAGCATTTTAAGTGGTAAAACATTTTTTTATAAATTCAATTAGAGCACTAAAGGAAAAAAAATTGGAAAATAAATGAGTTATAGAAGAGAGAATTGGAAAGGGAATTAATAGTTTGGCACAACAGGCACAAAATTTTACCCAAACCACAAACTCACTAAAAATTAGAATGGTTGAGATAGATCATGACTCATCGAGGCAATAAGAAATAATAGAGTAAAGTCAAAGGATTGACAATATGGAAGAAATGTAAATCAACATACCAACACCAACTAAGCTAAAAAACAAATTGAGATGATATAATTTAGAAATCATTGAACTAAATGAAAACCACAACCAAAAGAGAATCTAGACAACTCATTTCAAGAAATCACAAAAGAAAACTGTCCAGATTTAGAACCAGAAGAAAAAATAGAAATAGAAACAATCTACCAGGCACTTCCTGAAAGAAACCCCAAAATGAAAATTCCCCCAGAATACTATGGCCAAAGTGCAAAAAAAATCCTGCAAGCAGTCAGAAAGCAAGAATTCAAGTACCAAGGAGCCACACTAAGAATCACATATAATTTAGTAGCCACTACCATAAAGGAACAGAAATATTAGAATATGATATTCCAGAAGGCAAAGGATATATGCTTACAGGTAAGAATAACTTACCCAGTAAAACCGAATATAATCCTGCAGAGCTTAAATAAAACCTTCAATAAAATTAAAAAACCCTCTAAATTCCTGATGAAAATGTCAGAACTGCAAAGAAACCTTGAAGTGCAAATGCAGAAACTGAGAGAAATATGAAAAGATAAACATGAGTGAACATTCATAAGGGACATAAAGCATAAACCATTTACATTTGAATATGGGGAGATGATACTTGTGTTCTCTGAGAACTCTATCACCATTAAGAATCATTAGGAAATCAGGTGTCTACTTAGACAGAAGGCTTGGGAGTGATTCTCTTATATTTTGATGATCTTAAAGAAAAATAAAAGAGAGGGAAAGAGGAATACACTAGGATGGAGTAAAGAAAATGAAGAATGAGAAAAATTATTTCATATATTTTGGGTACAAAAGTAGAAATTTATATAAACAAGGAAGAAAAGGGTGGGAGGAGTGGTTGACACTTGAACCTCACTCTCATCTTAACTGGTAAAAGGAGGGAAGGGTACACTTACAGTTTGGGTACAGAAAAATATTTTGCTTAACATGGAAACAGGAGAGAAAGGACAGAAGAGAGAGGGGGGAATATAAGAGAGTGTAAATTAGGGGGGTTGATTGGTCCTAAGCAAAATAAACTCAAAATAGGTATAAAAATATAGCAGTTATTTTTAGGGGTAGCAAGGGATTAAAAAAGATGAGGGATTATCCAATAATTGGGTAATAACTGATCACATTATGGTATATGATTATGATGAAAACTATTGTTTTGAAAGAAATTATAAAGGGCATGGTTTCAAAGAAAACTGTAAACACCTATTTGAACTGATATCTACTGAAGTAAACCAGAAAAATTCATATTCTCTTTCTGTCTCTACACACACACACACACACACACACACACACACACACACACACAGAAACATACATACATATACAATGACAACAGTATTATAAAGACAAGCAGCCTGGAAAGACTTAGAAACTGACCAGTGCAATGATCAACCACAATTCCAAAGGCCACATGATGAAACATGTACCCACTGACTGATAGAGAAGTGAAGGACTCAGAGTGCAGACTGGCACATTGTTTTTATGTGGCCAAAAAAGGTAATTAATTGTACTTCATTACACATGTTTTTAAAAGGGGGTTTATTTTTTCTTTCTCAGTTTGGCAGGATTGAGAGGGAGAAAAGATATATTTTGGGGTTGATTAAAAAAAGGAAAATTTAATTAAAAACAATTAAAAGCAATGAGAATAAAGAACTTTCTCCAACATTATCAGGAACAAAAATATACTTACAGAAAGTTGCCCTGGTAGGACCTGAGGGGCATCTTTTAATGCTCCAGGACTAGTTGGAGAAATAACAGAAATGGAAGGTCTTTCCATCTTTTGAGATTCAAAAGAACTTGAACCTGGAATAAGAGAAAAAATGCAAAGGATAATTCTGATAAATTGTGGCCAAATAAGGTTATAATGAATACATTTTTCTAAAACACTTAAGTCGTATATTATATACTATAATTTCCTTGATAGTGAGAAACTACCTAAAACTATCAAGAGATTCATGTTACAAAATTCTCACTGAATATTTTAAATACGATTAATCAACATTTCCAAGAGGGAGTAGTATATTTAAAATGTAAGAAATCGGTTCAGCATTCAATTTGAGTTACCAGACTCTAAATACATATGACATTCTGAATGTTTACTTACATTAAACAGGACCTAGGGTAATGATAAGGGCAGGTGAGGGTGGTGGTGGATGCAATTAATGATGATGAAGGTGTTCATTCAATCACATTGGTAGAGTGACTAGATTTATTTGAGTTACCTTCATTGTAAAAATTGTAACAAATTTGATAGAAAACATAATTCCTGATCAGCAACTATTCTTAGGTTTATTTATCTTTTTCTTAGGTTTGCCCAATTTCTCAATACAGAGGCTACAAAATAAATCTCTAAAATCTGTTGATCCAGTCAGATGGTGTCTCCAGTGGTTCACAGAAAGAGTACAGAAGTAAGTGGCTTCTGAAAAATGAGGGAAGATTCTGGACTCTATTGTACACTTTGGTTTGATTATCAACTAAGGCTGTTTGGATGCTACTCGAAGTCTCAAGTTAATCTTCATTTGGGCTTTGTTTGTATTTTATTATATAGAGTATGCCCCAAAAGTAAGGAGAGTAGCTAATTAAAAACTGTTTCACCCCTACAGCTATTTAGTGCATAGGGTAGAGTGGGTTAGAAATGTTAAGAATAAGCAATTCATAAATTTAAATGTACTCACAATCTCACTGAATTAATGCCACATTGCTTGATTACACACTTTTCAATCCCATGTTCCACAGCTGAAATGCTTAAGAAACATGAAAGCCCTTCAACAGTATCTTTAATGTTGGTGTGGGTGATGGTATATGGGTCATTATTGTCAGCATGAGGCTTTGAATGGAATATTACCCTTCATGAAATAGAATAATTGGTAAATAGGTACCTCATTATGATTTCGTCATTATGGTCTATGCTATGGAATTATCAAATGGATGGAAATTCCTTATAAGGGACACTTTCATTCATTCTTTCATTTTTCTTTTGTTCATTCACACACACATTCATTTAATAAATATTTATTGATCATCTTCCATGTTCAAGGTACTTTGTCGTGGATGATAGGATATAAGGAAGACTAGGAGATGAAACCTGACTTAAAATGAAATCCTTTTCACCAATACTGTCACTAAAATAATTTGGTCGGATAGGGGAGGGTAGTATGGTTTTCTGCCTTATATGGAAGAGTAACTTGTAAGTCAGGTAACTTTTCAGTCCCCCCCAGTGGCCAATAGTCATTGATAGAGGGAATTTCCTCACCTGGGACATGATTATTCCAGGGAAAATATAGCCCCTACTCCTACTGCCATGGAAAAATAATGCTCCAGTGCTTGACATCAGATCCTATGATGATATCTTTTAGGAAAATACCATCATCATTGAAGTAATATGCCTATAACCATACACATTGGGGAGAAATGGTGCCATAAAGTGTAAATAAGTAGATATCCATCGGGCCCAATGATATCCATCACTCTCTGTACCCCCAACACATTTGATGTCCATATTGTTGCCACCTTTAGTCATGACTTATATGCCTCTATTTGCCTATGCTCCAATGTCCTTGAAGCAAACATCCATTCCCTCGTGCTCAGCGATTAAGGGAATGGTAATAAATGAGTTCAAAAGATATGACTTTTAAAATAGAAAGAACCATTTTAGATGAATGAATTAATCAAAAGAAGTCTTCATACTCACTAGACTCTAATGGAGGATGGGAGCTCTCAGGAATCCTTGGAATATCACTACAAAGAAACAGTATGTATTTTTAAAATCAGCCAAATTCAGCCCATGAATCTTTCTGAAGGTCTCATAGTTACATTGGTTTCAATGTGATGGCATAATCCTTTGGAGATTTAAAAAGGAGTGGCAATGGAACAGAGTTACTGTAAAGGCAGCTACTAATGTGCATGAATGTTACACACTACACAAGATTGCATTTCCCAAAGGAAGACCTCAAAGATCAAAACAACAAAACTTTTTTTTACAATGACAACAATCACATTAATATTGTGGCTAAATTTGCCACAATATTTTTACTACCAAAACAGTAGGTTTTGGAAACAAGAAATGTTCAAGTACTTCTAATACTAATGTTTCACTCTAGGAAGATAAATCAGAATGACACAAATTATGCAACTCACTAGTAGGCTTTACAAACACATCTGAAAGAGTTTACTGAACAAAATTGATGGAAAATATCTTAAAAAAAAAAAAGAAAGTGCAGATGATGTGAGCAAAGTTAAGCCTGAAAATGATGAGGTGCTTTGGAAATTAAAATCAAGCTTGCAACATAAAAAGCTAAAAAGTTACACATATGCCTTATATAGAGAGAACTCTATATATGAAGTATACCTAAATATACTATTGTATGGCTATTTACCACATAATGAGAAAGTAGCATTCAATTCATGGGAAAATTCTTTAGATCTCAATATCATGTTATTCTTGGGATACTAGTATTTGATAGGTCATATTTCTAATTTATTATAACCTGCAGAAGTCCTGGATCAATCTGACCTATATTCTCCATTGTATATAACTGTGACTTGTATTTTGTTTTATAAAAATTATTACTATCAATTTAACAAAGGAAACAATGCTATAGGGAGAGCACGAAAGACCACATATTGACATGACAAATCAAAACAGATTAGAATTTGGACCTAGAAAGTAATCCTTAGTGGACTATTAAAAAAAAAAAAAACCACTTACCTAGAGTCATGTTGGACCAGCCCTCACATTCTGACATTAGATTAATATGTTAAATGAGATGCTAGGATACACTGTGGGGTGGCAAAAGTAGAAATTTTGATTCACTTATAAGGACTTTTTTTCATTAAGTCCTGTCCTTGATGGAATGAAAATACTTATATTATGTCTCTTACATGTTTTCAAAACTTCCTAGAGGGTAATTCTGTGGTTCAATCAAGATTTTAAATCTTACATGAATCACAGAATTTATCTCTATATGTTATTACATTTCAGTTGTATGGCACACATTTAATAGCTAGGCCATGATCATCTATCTTCTTGCTAATTCAAATGAGGTAGGGGTTACCTTAAAGAGCAGTGCTCTATAAAATTGTTAGGTGAGCCTTGAAAACGTTTAATTTGAATGGCAGTTTTAAAGAATGAAATCTGGATCACAGAATCCTATTATAAGCCTGGAATTTTTTCATGGAAGTGTGGCAGGATCTCAAAATGCTTTATTTTCACTTAGTACAGATTTTAAAAGTAGATCTTTACCAAAACAAGTACCTAGTGGCTGTTATTTCTCTAATACTTCCAGATAAGATGTGTTTGCTGACATATGTGGGAGAAGTCTGAGAACTATTCTGACCTTGAGGTTGAATCAGAACATTCTGTCTATGTGATGACATGGTAGATATTGTCAATGTATCAAGTTTTCTACTATCAAACTATTCTGATAAGTTTAATCAAAAGATAAATTTGGACTTATTCACAGAGCCATCCTTTAATCAGGATCTGATAACGTTCTCTGAAGAAATAAGTATCTACTGCTCCAAGGTCACTAGCTAGTTTTGAATTGAACTACCATTAAACTATGAATAAAGGCCTTTTTCTAACATTTCAGTAATTTCTTCTCCAGTTAGAAAATGAAGATACCTTTAAGAAGATGTCTATTTCCATACATTCTTTTAATTCTATATTTTAACAGGTGATTTTTGATGTGTCTATAGCTCCTGACTTTTGGTGTATTTATATTTACTTTCCTAATTTTTGATTATAACAGTTTTACATCATTACAATCTGCCTTAGTTGTCTTTTATGATTGTAAATAGCCAAGAATCAATAATACTTTAGATATATTCTTTCAGTAGCCCTGATCATCTGAATGCATTTCTGCAATAGCTTTGCCATATAATTCCTTCATCTTTTATTTCTATATTTTCAGCCCCTCTTCAGGAATTACTTACCTCTTTCCCAGCCCCATATTTGCCTCAGCTCAAGAACACATGTAATATAAAACTAATATAATTATATATTAATAATATGCTAGAAATCTGTATAGATAGAAAGCATAATACTATTACAAAATTCTTATTGTTGTACTTTGTGTAGTCATCATTTAAATTTTGGTTTCTAACCAGGCCTTCATTTCATTTTTAAAAATTTCCATTTTCACTTAAAGAAAATTAGCAAAAGTATGCTGTAGACATATTGATCATAGATAATATAATTCAATTCTTTGACAATTTGAAATAATGTGTTTTTACATGTATGTTTTATGAGTGCAAATATCTATGAAGAGGATAAGAATTTAACCTATGTATGTACTTTTTCAACAAAATTATGAGCTGTAGCCCAACAATAACAGAGTAGAAAATGTAAAGAAAATATTTTTCTCCATTTACTGTGCAAATATTAAGTGAGTTGTAATCAGCAACTTCAAAATGTCATTACAATTTGTAGATGGTCAAAAGGAATACTCACTCTAAACTGTGGAGTCATAGTTAGCTAAAGCAAAGAGATAAAGGGTGGGGCAGCTATTGCATTTATGTATTTCTTTGGGACACATCTCATATTCATAGAGAATAAAAATATGCTATCATTCAGAACAAGCCTAATTTGGATGATCAGAATTAAATTATTTCATTTTTTTCTGAGTAGAATGTAATTTCCTTGAGGGCATGAAGTATTTTTATTTTTGTCTTTGCATCCTTAGCACCTAGTTCAGTTTCTGGGCACAGTAGGCACTTAAAATGCTTGTTAAATTGCTGAATTTAATTGAATTATAGTCTTTCTTTTTATAGAGTTAACATTTAAAATACTGAAGTTTTAAAAATCAACAGTTTTTTATAACAAAATCATCTACCTTTAAATGAAATCTGTACTCAATCCACATGTAAAAATATAGAATAAAGCACTCTTTTCTCGTAGTCTATAAACTAAAGAGGTAAAAGCTATTACATTAAAAGGTTTGTCATAGCATTAGGCTAGAACTGCTAAATTTCACTTTCCATAGTAAGAAGAATTAATGGATGCCCCCTTTCTCTAGTAACACAAATCACAGAATTTGAATTACTAGAAATCAATAGTGTGCCTTCATTTGGAAATGGATTTCATTCTTATTACATAAATAAAAGCTTATCATATTCTGTGACATTTAGCCTTATCAGAACTTAAATCCTCTAAAATGTAGTGAAGAAAATTCAGTATACAGATCTAAAGAGTTGTTTTCATGTTTTTAAATTCCAGTATATGTGCCCATATTTGAAGAAAATGCCATCCACATAACAGGTATTATATGAATGTATAAACTTCCTTTCAAAACCCTGTGAATACATGTAATTTACTAAACTTAAGAAGCAAGTTTTTTTTTAGCCTTACCCAATAGGCCTTGAAACAATAATTTCAACTTGAGGTTCTGATTTTGATTCTAAAATAATGTTGTAAACTTCTTCATTTGTAGCTCCAGGCAGGGGTTTACCATTCCATTCTAGAACTTCATCCCCTTGAATTTAAAAAAAAGGGTATTTTTTTACCTTATGATTTTTCTTTTATTTTTTTTTCTTTTCTGTCTTTTAAAATGTTTTAAACAAAGAATGCAAAACATATACAAATATATTTTAGTTATCTAAGCTCCACTAACCAAAAGCAAAGTCTCACACCATGGAAACTGGTTAAACTGAATTTCCAAGTCTCTAAGAGTTGTACTTATTTATTTATTTATTTATTTTGCAGTGTTCTGCAAACAATATGGTACATAATGTTCTTGATATATTTTTAGATGAATCAGCAATAATCAAAACAACTGCCTTGCGCTATGGCATGGAATTAGCACATTCCAGCTGGAAGGGGTCTATTAGGCAGCAAGCATTACAACCTCTGGGTGAGGGTACAATTACTACCAGGCTCTTACACACAAATCCTAGCTTTTTTTTTTTAAACAACAACACTGAGTAATATCGGTGAGTGTAAATTTTCTGGTCCTAAGATGCTACATAGTCTTAGCCAGATGCACAAAAGAATAAAGATGAGTGAAAGGATTTCAAGGCCACAAACATAGTTTAACCTAGGTAGCTATGGCAAGATAACAAAGCAAGCGGATGTAAAACTGTTGCATGAGGGCTAACCCATTCCCAGATGTTAAAAGTACATAATTTTATATATGATATAACTTTGTTAGAATTAAATTATAAAAAGAAAATGCTTCATAAACGGAATTTTGAAGTAAAATCAATATAAATCAACATAAAGACTGGGAAATGTTTCTATTAAGAATAAACTAAGGAGTTCTCAACTTTGGAATACAATTTTAAAAATTTTATGTAACATACTCTTGAGAGTTAATGAATTTTTCTCCTAAATGAGAAGAGCAAGTATATCAGGAGGCACTTAAAAGTACCTTTTTAAAAGAGTCAATATAATCTTTCATTTAAAAAAATCTAGATAAATACACATTTGATTTTTTTTAGATTAAAATGAGCTCTCCCCCAAGGTGATATGGACAAACACTGACTTTTCTATTACAGGTGGCAATTTGGGTTCACTAATTCATCATAGTGTCTTCTAAGCCTCAAAGAAATCAGAAATCATTTAACTTCTAAAAGTACAGTGACATTCTATAAACTGTGGAACTCTAAGAGAAATTTAAAAAAGTATTATGCTGTTTCTATTTGGTGAAACCATTTCATTTTATCTTGTATTAATGAAGAAATTGTAGCATCTGAATAACTGAATCTCATAATTCTTCAGATTGGCCCTTATGCGTGCCCTTTGCTGAGAGAAATTGATATGCAAAAGTATATCAGGGATTGACTAGTAATATAACAAAATAACCATTCCTTTTATAAAAGGCTCATTGAAAATTGCCTTTAAGTACCAAGCTCCCCTAGTGAATGTCACTGCTCATTTGCATTAACTACTTGATTGGGAAACAGAAAGTAGTAAAAGGGTAGAAGCAACTAATAATCATAGATTACTGTGAATAAAATAGATCAGGTAAAACACCATTGAGATAAAACATCATTGAAATTGTGAAATGGAAAGCATAATTCACTTTTAAATGTACTGTATTCACATGCATATTTCTACCACAATGGAAACCATGACAGATTGGGTAAAGGACTAGCCTTGGAGTCAGAAAGATGTGTGGGAAGTCCCACCTTTCAAACACATACTAAGTGTTTGACCTTGGGTAAGTTATGGAACCTCTCAGTTATGCAAATCTCTAAGACTATAAATTGTAAAAAACTTGCAAACCAGCGTTGGTAAAGAAGTTTCTTCCTCTGGGGAGTCTGCCTAGCAACAAAATTGCAGATTAATTTTCTAGCCTCCTATCACACACCTCTGTTATAAAGAGAAGATTACATGGCTAAACTGTTAACACATATTAGCAGTAGCTTCTACCATTTCAGATATGTTTTTCTGACAAATTGCTGTCAAGTTGTTAATGAATCTGAAGAAACCCTGGGGAGCTCATATTTAAAGGAAACCTGCAAGATTCTTCCCACAAAGGGAAAGATACTTTCCCAGTGCTCAGGAAAATCACTGCTTACTTGATCAGTTCTGCAAATTAAGGTTTTTGCCATTGGGTTTTCTCAGACAGGGCACAGCTGTATGTCAGGCTTTACCCGTTTTGAGGCTGGTATTCCACTCACTAAACTAGCACATGCTCAGCTTGTGGCCCACATATGGGTATTCAAAAATTGATTATCTTCCTTATGCTGCATGTTGCATCATAATTGGTCTCTGAAAAGAGTTGGCATGGAGTCCCAGCACTTCTTCACAAACTAAACAGCAGATGGAGCAAAATCTCTGATTCTCAGCCTCTTCCTCTGTAATTACTGTGCAACATTTATCCCGCAAAGAAGTTTAGGATCATAGATCTGGAGCTGCAAGGAATTTCAGAAACCATCTAGTCCAATTCTCATCATTTACAAATGAGGAAACTGAGCCACAGGGAAGTTAAATGGTTTGATCTTTGGTTATGTTACTAAACCATATTTTTCTAAGGGAACTAAATCGTGAATTTAGAACAAATCAATGCTCTTTTTTTCATGATGTGACTGCTGCCTCTTAATTCTTCATTGCCTCATTAATTCCCTTCCCCCACCAAGAACTCCTCAAAGCTTTTAATGCAGAAGAGTATAGAAGAAAACACACTGGTCAAAAAAGATGTTATTCTTTTATCAACTAACAAAGAAAGAAAAGAGAAGAAAAGAAAACACCAGTGTGTCAAAGGTAGAGGAAAATTATCTTTGGATTCCAGTTAACATAGACTATGTTTGGATTTTCCAGATCATTTTGCTCTGTCATGTGTAAGGGTCAAGGTCATGGAAGCAACATTAACTATGACCATAAATTATAAACATCTGAATTTATTACAACCACATAAGCATCAAATTGATCACAATATCCATGTTCTGTTGTGAATACTGCAAAAGTAAAAAGGATATAAAGCATACTTGCAGACCCAATAAGTTATATCAGATATTCTTTAGAAAGTGCATTTACTAGCAAATTCAAAGATATAGTATTATTTTACATGCACACTTGTTGTTTCACAACATAAACAAATCTTTGGAGTAGAAGTGTTGGGGACAACTGCCTTAATAATTATTTTAGTTGAAGAATGGCCTCTGAGGAAAATTAGTTAGAGTTGAGTACATTTTCACATAATTTTAAATCTCAATTGAAGCATGCAGCAATGTTATGAAGTCAGCAACATAGTTCAGTCCTTTCATATCAATGATACTTCATAAGAGGAAAATTATTCTTTTCCATAGGATCGCTATTGGTCCACAATAACTAGGGTGTTGTATACCCTAGAGTACATTTCTGTATCACTGCCACTGGTAGGTGCTAGTATATATATATATATATATATATATATATATATATATATATATATATATATATATATGGTCAACTGGCTCACTGAAAAATATTTATATTTAATTTTTCTTCAACATGATTTGTTCAACATTCAAAGCATTAACAATTAACAATAAAGTAACAAAAGGAATATGTTGTATTAGGTATATTTTAAAACATGTATAAAAACACATATAAAAGTATCTCTTTACCTGCTCTTAGATGTCCTACTACATCTGCTAGGCTACCCTTCTTTACTTTGGTGATGAAGGCACCAAGACGTCCTAAATCAGTCATTTTTCCTCCAACAACCTGGATAATCACAAATTTGTAAGGTTCCAATTCTTATACGGCAGCAACAGAGGTTTATCAGTTAGGCTACATTCTGTACTAATTCATCACTCATAGGAATTTTTTTTTTAATCATTCAGATGCTTCAATGATATGAAATGAAATTCTTTTATGTTGTTTGATTTTACCTGATTTTTTGAAGAATCAAAAAATTATTACTTAAATTAAAAACAACAAAAGCAACAATAAGAATCTAGCATTTATTTTCCCAGTGAAAAATCACCTTATAACAAAAGGTAGCTCTTTTCATTTGCTTTCTACAAATCCCTAAGCAAAGCAAGTAATTTGTACACTGGAAAATCAACACTCAGATCCTTTAATCTAGTCAAATAATAATCATCTAATTAACTTATTTCTGGGTCTAGTGCATTTCTTTTAAGTCCATTCTTACAGTATCAATTACTAATTGTATACGCTAATTTTTGTTTCTTTTCTTTTTGATCCAGATCTTTATTTTCTGAAGTGTGAAGAGCTCCTAATGATGAAACTCCCTCCATAAATGTTGATTGACAACTCTCCTATGATGAATAATTTTAAAGATTTGCTGGGGGTGGGGAGGGGCACTGAGAGATTAAATGACTTGCCTAGGTCACTCACCCAGCAGGTGTCAGAGGTAAGTCTTGAACCCAGATCTTCCTGACAAAAAGATCTCTCCTCAATCTACTTTATTACTAGGTGCTTAGTAAATTGAGTTGAAACAATTTTTGAAAACTTCCTAAGATAGTAATAAGGGGGTTGTTTGCATGGTGCTGGACTGCAGTCCGGTCCAGTTCCCACTTCATGCATATTCTATCTGTGTGACTATGGGCAAGACATTTAACCTCTCAATTCCTTGAACAACTCTTTAAGACTATAAATGTGGATTTCTTATCATCATACAAATAAAATGTGTTAGAAACAGGCCTCAAAATCACACATTCCTTATTTTATGAATGTTTTCTATCCACTAAACCTGTTAAATAATTCTTACAATTATTAGGACCATTGCTCTAAGGTCATAGTGGTACTTCCCTTACCTCATTTCACAATTCTTCCCCTCCTCAGAACTCCTGGATCCTTTTCTCCCCTGTCCTGGAGTCTGTCTGTCCGTCTCTGTCTCTGTCTGTCTGTCTCTTCTCTTTCTCTCTCTTTCTCTCTGTCTCTCTGTCTCTCTCTTCCACACAGACTCAAACTCACCTCCTTCCCCCACACACAACCAATACCCAAGAGGGAAATTTGGTTATCTAGCATATCTGGACACTGGAGTTCAACTAACCTCCCTCCCTTCTGTTAAAGGGTATGATAGCCCTCACCTCTGGCCTGACCACAATGAAGGAAGGAAGAATGAACTCTGTGTGCTCCAGTACCCTGAAGGTGAAGTCTAGGTGTAATCCCTATCAGGAGTGGGAAACCTGCGGTCTCGAGGCCACATGTGACCCTCTAGATCCTTAAGTGTGGCCCTTTGACTGAATTCAATCAAATGGCTGCACTTAAGGACCTAGAGGGTCACATGCGGCCTTGAGGTCGCAGGTACCCCACTTCTGCCCTGGTTGATCCAATACACTCCAATACACTCCAATAGCAGTCTCTTTCCTACAATCCTCCCTTATACCACGATGTGGCTTTGTGTCTGGTAGAGGTCTCTTTCTCACTAGGTCTTTCTCCAGCCCTTTTTTTCCTTTCCCCCAAACCCTGAGATGAGAATTGCTAGTCAGAGTTTTAATCATTACATACTTCACCCACACTTCTTAATGTTTCTCTATAATACTACCAAGTGCTTGACATCTTCCCTTAGACATTGTATTGCCACATGACAAAAAAACTTAAGTTCCATTACATTTTTCCCAAATATGGTCTTTAACATTCCAAGTTTGGGAACAAAAAGGAAATCCCCAAGGATCCATATAGAAAGCCTTTTCCCAGGAAACTGACCTGTTCAAATCTGATTTGCAGTGTGTTCTAACTATTGTAATCCTCCCAACCCCCAGCAGTTAAATGTTAATGGATAAGATAATAATGATAATAACAAACATAATTTATTAGTGTTCACTTTAAAGGAATAACAAATCACATAATTTTCAAGAATATCAATTTGTAAGACATGAATCTCATTATGTGAATGAATACGGGCTTTTGAAATTACATTTGATTATACACACACACACATAGACATACATGGTTTACTCTAAAGATACTGGTCATTTACTACCATCATAATCTTAGCAAGTCTACGACTGAAGTTATTGAAAATGATTCTTCACACCTGTTTCCTCAACCAGTAAAACTTTATGCTTTCCCCCAGCTGTGATAGAATAGCTGCTAGTTGGAAGGTAAACAGTAACTAAGTGAAGTTTTCATGTTACCTGAAATAATTTAATAAAACTGGGAGGTGCACAATATCCCCTTCATCTAACATTACATAATTCACTATTTCCTGACAAGGTGTTTGCTTAAAAACTTTCTTTATTTCCTTCATTTTATTGCATTTTCTTAATGCATTCATGTGCTAAAATGAAGTGAATTTTAAACTTCCTAGAAGTTTTGATATATGAAATATAGTGGACATATTGTTTCATCATGGAAAATGAATTTGGGAAGAAGGGCAAAATTAAGGAACTTTTTTAAAATCAAAATTAGTGCCAGAGATATTGGATAACCTCATTTATAATGTAGCTCAGAGGTTCCTTTTAAATCTATTTATAAGATACTTACTTTTAATCCTAGGAGTGCACCTGATTCTTTGGGCATGGTTGTTCTCTTGTTAAGAATAACACGTCCAATTAATCGGTCACCCTCTTTAGACGGTTGCCACGTTACAGGATGCTATTAGAAGTGGGAATAAAAGAAAAAAATGGATAGGTTGATGTACTTTTCACACATGGGGAGGTTAATATAATTCATAGCACAATGTAATTATAATTAGCTCAGCTAAAAAGCAGTCTAATAGAAATTTTTACATTAATAGGACTTGTTTCTAGGTTTATTAAAATTTGACTTACATATTATTTGCACTAGACATTTATCAAACTCAACATAATTAATGACATCATTAACAGAATGACACCTTTGGAATGAAATTAATCTAAATGTGTAAAATCTATCTTACAGTTTGCTTCAAAAACATTGATTTTTTACAATATTTTGGTTTATAGGGTACATGCAACTAATGCATTAAATGACTACAGCTAACTACTTAAGGGCCATCTTTTACTTTAAAATTCTGAAATATAGAATTTGGTGATAATGGTGCTTTTCAAAACCACATGCTGAGTTCTTTAAATTAAGAAAAATTTTTTTTCCTAACATGCTAAAACTTTTATAATGAGACAGAACAATAGCAATAATTGAGGCCTTGAAAGGTCCATTTCACTCTGTTGCTTACCGAACTTATAGGAGAAGTCTCCCTACTGGGCCACGTGGTAGGATCCAGCCAATAGTAATCCAAGTCACCTAGAGAACACAAACCAAAAGCATGGGTACTTCCTCAAATTGGAAAAGGCACCATCACATGTTGCTTCTTCAAGGTTAATTATTATAATTGCCTTAATTTTATCCTCTGCCCTGAACTATAAAACCATAGTAATGATGAGAATATTGAGATTTAGAAGATACAATGCGAAAGCAATATAAAAATCAGAAGAAAATAAACGGACTGCTGCTAAGAATGAATTCACTAACTTGACTTGGCTTCATTGCTGTGGGATCACCTCTATTCTATTAACTGAAATTATTGGCACAAATCTTGAAACTAAAACTCCCTTTCTGATGCTTATATCACCTATACCATCACTATAATTCTTTAAAGTTACCCTCTCATTTCCAAATGCAATAGTTTCATGTCATACTTATTTCTGGGAGGTAGCCATGATCCACCAATCAAAATAAAATCAAAATGACTTTTTTAAACACCACTCATGCCAATAGCTTCCTAGGATCTATTGAGATCAATATATAAAAAGAATGAAGGACTTTGAGATATTTGATCACCTAAAGAATGATACTGAAAGAATATATGCACAGGCCCTTAGTGGTTTTTGTTTGTTTGTTTGTTTACTTTTCTAAGAAAAAAAAAGGAAGTTATGGACGAGATATGAACAAAAGAAAAACTTGATAGGATAAAGATAACTTTAAAGATAAAACTATTGATCCAGTTTAAAAAGAAAGAAGATCATGAAAACTTAGGGACCTTTTCCAAGATCCCAAATAGGTATATTAAGGCTATTTGTAGAGAGTGGGTCCACTCTAGAAAGAAAGGCGGAAAGAAGCACATTGAATAACGTTGGTGGTATTGTGTATTAGGGAAAGGAAGAAAATCCATGAACTATCAGATCAATGAGAAGAATAGAGGTTTACACTGAAGTGTAAGGTAGGTCACTCAATGTTGGGACGCTTGATTAAATATTGGAAAGTACGTAAATTAGTTGCCTTCATATGTCATGAAAAAAGAATTTTGGGAAGGATAGCCATATTAAAGGGAGGAAATTATTTAAAAAGAAAGAATTACAACAGCTTGTCAAAAATATGCACATTGGGGGCAGCTAGGTGGCACAGTAGATAGAGCTCCGGCCTTGAAGTCAGGAGGACTTAAGTTCAAATCCAGTGTCAGACACACAACACATAACACTTTCTAGGTATGTGACCCTGGGAAAGTCACTTAACCCCTGTTGCATAGCCAAAAAAAAGCAATTAAAAAATGAATGAATGATGAAAAAAGTAGTTATTAAAAAGATGCACACATTAATAATCTGTAGCATCCAGAGTTCCTATTTCAACACTGATATACCTACCATTTTTTACCTTAACCTATATGATATTTTTGGAAGGCAAAAAAGAATTTTGTGTGTTGCATGATAATTCTAATAAATATTCATTGGTCTTGTGTAGTATAATATCTCAATACTATAAATAGCTAACTGCAGGGACTAAATTGAAATAGAAAACATTCTGTAAGGTCATTACGTATTCAGCCCACAGCCTTTGTCCCATATATCTAGTACTCATAAAAATTCAAACTTTATGCAATATTTGTTCCAAGAGCTGCAATTTTTAAAAAAAAATTCTCCTACCACCACAGGGGGAAATGAGTATCATCTATAAAGAAGGTGTGACATGGAGGATGATTAAGTGCTTTTAATCAATTTTTAAAATATCTTCCTTTTTTTCTATTTTAAAAATGTTGAATGCCCTCATATCTTCAATATCAGGAGACCTTCAGCATTTAACAGTGCCATAGTTATAATTAACACTAAGAATTTTAGACCTTTATCTATAAATAAATATTATCTTAGTCATTTTCATGATTTTGATATAAAAATTACATATAATATATATACTGTGTAACCCACTAAAATTTAATTTTTCTTGATTTTCTTTAAAACAATGTGATTAAATTAAGGTCTCATGTCTGAACATCATTAAGCAAGAAAAAGCATATACATTTTGCCAGAAACATCGTGCAGAAATACTTCAGAAGAACTGAATCAGAGATTTAGAGCCAAAAAAGGATCTTAGTGGACACTGAATCAAAGTTCTTCACTTTATACATGAAGAAATGAGGCCCGGAGACTTACACGAATTGCTCAAGGTCACACAGGTCATGGGCAGGCATATGAACACAATTCCTCTGATTTCAGAATCAGTGTTCTTTATACTGTAATTGCTAATAATAATAGTTAACATTTTATAGCATCTACTATGTTTGTAGTGCCATATTGCTCTATGATTATTATTTTTTTGATCCTCACAACAACCCCAGGGGGTGCTATTATTATTCTCCTTTTGTAGATGAGGAAACTGTGGTAAATAGAGTGAAATGACTTACCTAGGGTAACACAGCTAGTAAATATCTGAGGCTGGAATTGAACTCAGGTCTTTCTGACTTCAGGCCTAGTGTTTGATCTCCTGCACCATCAGCTGCCTACCAAGTTTCATCTATTTTGTCCATACCCATCAAGCAAGACTACCTCTAAAGGATCTGAAGAAAATAAATATCTATGCAATTTATATACAATACCAAAGGAAAAAGGTACAGGACTCATCAGTAATTTGTTTTAATATTTAAGAATTACTGTCTGGGAAAAAGTCTTTTAGATCATACCTAAATCTGTCATGCTAGAGCTCAGATGGACTCCCTTAACCATGAGCAATGCGGCAGGTAGGTGATACAGTGAATAGAGCACAGGGCTCAGAATCAGAAAAACTCATCTCTCTGAGTGCACATGTGGCCTCAGACACTCACTTGCTGTGTGACCTTGGGTAAGTCTTTTATCCTTGTTTGCCTCAGTTTCTCATCTGTAAAAGCTGGAGAGTGAAATAGCAAACCACTCAAGTCTCTTTGCTTAGAAAACCCCAAAACGGGTCCCAAAGAGTCAGACATGACTGAAAGGACTCAAGAAACCGTGAGGAAGGCACTTACTCAATCTTACATTTGTAAATATTTGTATCTCGATAGCCTAAATTAATTCTGTGCTGAACCTAGAAGACGGAAGGGAATGAGAATTTATATAGCACCTACTATTTGCCAGGCACTGGGCTAAAGTGCTTTATTTACACTTATCTCATTTCGTGCCCACAGTCTTCTTACACCTTACTCTCCTCTATAATCTAACTCTCAACTCTACAATGAGAAACTATCTCCCAGCGCCTCACATTTTCATCAGCTATGCCTCATGCCAGGCATACCCTCCCTCCTCATCTCCACCATCTGGCTTCCCCAGCTTCCTTCATGCCCCAGCTGAAATCTCATCATTTTTTTTTAGGCAATTGGGGTTAAGTGACTTGCCTAGGGTCACTCAGCTAGTAAGTGTCAAGTGGTTGGTCAGAGGCCGGATTTGAACTCAAGTCCTCCTTTGAACTCAAGTCCTCCTGACTTCAGGGCCAGTGCCCTACCCACTGCGCCACCTAGCTGCCCCTGAAATTCATCATTTATAAGAAACCTTTCCTGATCATCCTTAAATTGGTGTCCTCTACCTGACATTATCTCCAGTAGCTGTTTTCATGTCATCTCCCCTCTTAGAAGGTGAGCTCCTTGAGAACAGAGACTATTTTTACCTTTCTTTGTACTGACAATACTTAGCATAACACCTGGAACATAGTAGATACTTGGTGAATGTTATTGACTTGACCTTGCTTCTCTTCACTAACCATACTAATTATCATATCTACTATTAGGACAGTTGTTATACATTTGCTACAAAGTAAATAGCTTTAGTAGGTATTTGCTATAGCTGCAGGGCTCAGTGGGTAGAGCCCTGGGCCTGGAGTCAGGAAGTTTTGAGTTCAAATGTGAGCTTGACACTTACTAGCAGTGCGACTCTGGGCAAATCACTTAAGTTCTGTTTGCCTTATCATTCCAATATCTTTGCCAAGAAAATCCATGGACTGTTTGGACCATGGTGTCACAAAGAATCAGACATAACTGAACAACAAATAGTTTTAAACTGATAATCTTATACTTATGTTGGTAGATATTAAAACAACAAACATCAAAATACACATTTGATATTACTATATTGAAGAGTTACTATAATTTAGCCCCTTTTATTTTCTAATCAAATTTCTCACAGCAGTTTCTTATGAATACTTCCAATGACATCAATTAAATTATGAAAGTTCCGTAGTAAGTTTATGTAAAGAAGTGATTAGACCTTAGATATCTGAATCTAATTATAGTTTGCTCTTTTCTTTAAATTACTGTAGTTTCAAAGGAATTATTGACTTTCTAAGTATACTCATTTGTCATTATAATCCACCTTCCTATTAAAAGGAAAAACACATTTACACATTCAATAAAAGTCTGTTCCCATAAGATTCAAAATTTTCCACATCACTAACATATTTCCATTATCATATTTACAATAAGTAATTAATACTATTGAACTCAAAGTGGCATAATATATAAAATGATAAATGTATAGTATATATTTGTAAAATTAATGTGAAAATATGCTGGGTCTAGTATTGACTAAAATTATATAAGAAGCAATTTATAATGATCATTAATATGAAATATTGCAGGAAATGAGTCCTATAGTGTCAACATGTTGACAAATGAATATAAAGTAAAGCCTCTGATACAAAGCTCAATAAAGTGTTATTTTGAGGTAACTGTTTATAGTGAGTTTTCTAGATGCCATTTAATGAACTATAAGCAGTATAGTTGATTTCTACACATAACCTTCAAAGTTAGCTCAGCTATACTTGAATCCTTTGCCTTCTTTTTCTATCACTTTCACCTAACCCCAACCATGAATTAATCCCACAATCTACATTCTCACTATTGGACAAAGTCACATGTGAATAGGGTACACTATAGATGTATGTTATCTAATCATAACTAGACCCTTACCTCTGGATGGCAAGTGATTCATTGATTCACCTTGATTGACTGTATCACACTTTTCACAGCAATCATTGCAATCTTTCTCAAGCCTCCTATACCACATTCCATC